GTTCCCACTTGACCAAGATATAGAAATAAAAACTTACAAAATATCCCTCATCTAATAATCAAATGATTGCTATTCAATAATGTGTGCAGAACTTCTAAAGAAAATCAGTTGTGTCAATATGACATTTGAAATAAGTTTCATACGACCATATCGGTCCTAGTGGCGATTGAAAAAAAGTTTAGTCATAGTTCCAACGGGACCGGATCTATCTTGACCATATATCATTAATAACAAATATTCTCTTTTAAACACTCTATTCTTCATTAATGTCGTTTCAGCCCTTTGAAAAACGAATTAGTAAAAGTGCTACTTCTCAACCTGAAGTTCACCAACAAAAACGGATTTCTGTACTTGAAACACCTAGAAATATTCGTCTAGATTACATTAAAGAAACAAATAAGAACAATCAACATCCTTTGAAAGTAAGTTAAACACATATTATATCTACAGTCAGTTTATTAAAAACCTAAATCAAATAATTATTTGTCTTTTTTAGATTTCCAGTCTACCATCCCCATCATTATCTCTTCATTCTCAAAAATATATAACAAAGGCTCAAGAACAAACAACAAACAATCTTCATCAAATACCAACTATATCAAAGTAACATTTTTTTTTTGTCATTTTCTATGCACCCATTTTATTTGTTGATTTGACAGATGGTCAACTAGAAAGAAGGTTTTAGTCGGTGTTTCAGCATCTTTGATAATCGCATCTCTTATTACAGTTACCACTGTTCTTGCTGTTTTGCTTACGAAATCCAAAGGTAAATTTACTTTAAATAATCTTGAATTGCTTTTCAACGTTAGATTTGTTCGGTATTTGTTTTATAGGATCAACAAATACAACAACAACAACTGCATCTTCAGCAGTTATTTCCGCATATTGGGCTTTCGATAATACAGCGAATGATTTATATGGTGTTTATAATGGTCAACTAATAAATAATCCAACATATACTCCTTCAGGTTCAACTAATCTACCATATGTAGGACATGGCCAAGCACTTATCTTGAATTTAGTATCAAATCAATCAGTTTTGGTTTCAACTCCGTTTTTTAATTTAAGTTATACAAGTTTTACTATCGAAGCTTGGATTTATTTTTCAGGAGCTAGTGGTGCTGATCGTGGAATATTTGGTCAATGTCAATGTTCAACATGTGCTAATCAATGTTTGTATTTTATCATTCGAAATTTTCGTTTATACATTGATTTTACATCGAATTATTTGTCTGGATCGACGACTTTTTTAACTTCAAATTGGTATCATATTGCATTTGTTTATAATTATGATACACGACAACAAATATTATACGTCAATGGAATTCAAGATACTATCAAATCAAATACACAACCATATCAAGGACAAAATGGAAGTATTCAAATTGGTTCAACTCAAGTTTATTCGACGATGAACTTTTTTCAAGGTTATATTGATAATGTTGCATTAACAACAAGAGCAAAATCTTCAATAGAAATTTTACGTGATGCATCTTTAATGGCTTACTATTCATTTGATTTACCAAATCCAAATGTTGACAATGGTCCAAATGGATTAGATGGAACGTCAAGTAATATAATCACAGCTACTGGACGTGTTAATGAGGCAATACGTCTTCTTGGACCATCATCATCATCTTATTTTCGAGCTTACGGTCTTTTTCAAATTCGTTATGGTGTTATTAGTAACAAAACATTTTCAATAGCCATGTGGTTAAATCCATCATCAACTGGTAGTTCTGCAATTATTCAAATGCTTCCTTCAAGCTATACTTCATCTTCTTGTGAAACATTACTTGGTATTTATTCATATAATAGTGGAACAGCAGGACAACTCTATGTAGTCAGTTCTATTTCTAGTCCATCATTACTGACAGGTCCTTTTATAGCAATAAATACATGGACACACATTACATTGACTTATAGTTATACAAATGGATACACATTGTATGTTAATGGAGTTCTTTTTGGTTCAACTGGCAGTATATCATGTGCTGGAACTGGTACATTGGCCAATCTATACATAGGCTTTGGCTATAATTGTTTTAATAGTTATATAAATAGTGCTTATCAAGGTTATATTGATGAACTCTATATTTATAATCGAGAACTATCACAATCAGACGTAACTAGTCTTGCTAATCCATGAACTATTATTAATTTGATAAAGATGTAATCCTGCATTCTAGTACACTTCTTGTAGTTAGAAATAAGTGTGTCATACATTTCTTGTATTTTTTCAAATACCAATAAAATCTTACAGCTAAAGATGACATTCTGTTCAATCGATGAATATGACATTATTGAATAAATCAATTTCATGTGAAACTTTTTAGGTATAGTCTACATAGTCAATCAAAGGAAAATAACGGCACGAATAAAAATAGCAAGAAAAAGAAACTTTGGCTTTCCAGACGAATCGATATTAAAAAGATGCTGTACAAGGGTATCAAGATTGAAAAGTAAGATGTGTAAGAAAAGGTCAAACAGTGATAGTCGAAAATTCAAAAAAACCTTAATAGTTTATTGAGGAATAATGAATCAAAATTTAATTATTTGTGGGTGTACATTTCGATATCAGAGTTGTAACCGTTCGAGATTTTCTGAAATAGTCCTATCTGCTGCATCGTTACTAATCAAATAATTAGAATGCCTGAAAAAAAACACTCATTTTCCTTTTCTTGCTGGTTTTTGTATAAATCTCCCCAGACAAAAAGCTTCATCTAATACTTTTTTGTACCTGTTAGAGTTGTTAAAGATGAATTTGTCCCATTTCTATATATGCCGAGAAAACAAGCGCCATTTATCAATCAACTACTACTTGCTTAACTCCGAATCTCACATTTCTTCACTCATCTTTTTTAGATAAACCAAATATTTCTCTAAGAACGACGATCTTTACAAAATTGGACTACAGTAAGACAATTTCATTCTGCTTTTATAAATATGAAATATACTTAAACAACGAAGTGTCGATGGATCGAAAGGAATGAAACATAAATGTGGGAAACGTTATAGATTGTCAAGAACCGTTTCATATATGTTCAGTATATGTTTGCATTGCTGAAAATCGAGATTTTCTCTATACTTTTTTTCAAGTCGATCATTGTTCCTATATTTTCGATGCACGAATTCTTATATATGGCTACCTAATTCTGCACTTATATCGTGACAATTTGTTGCCTACAATTCCATTTTCTTATACATGAACGAGCGTATTTCCCCATATTGTAAGGCAACAATACGGCACATATCGTTCAACCATGACAGTTTTGGAGTTATAAATATCGAAGAGACATGAAAAGTGGTGAATTATCCTAGTTGAACATTATTGATAAATCTACAATTACGATAACGAGTCATTTTGGAAGAAAAAAATTGAATAAGAACAGCATCATAATAATCATTATGATTTATTTCTTTACTATAATATTAGAAATAACTCTTCGTTTATAACATACTATTTTTCTTATAATTTAAAAAACATCATATACAGTAATTCCTAGCTCTATTATTAAACTTTTTGTTGTTTCGTTTACTTTAGTTCGTGAGTCATATGACAAATAAAAGATTAGATTTCGATGAAATGTAGAGACAGATATTTTCTTTATAATTTTAATTGAAATGTACAAGATTTTTGTTAATTATATCATTAAAATTCGAAGTTAGACGTGCCTGTATGCAGTACAAAAATTGATTGTATTTATCTGATCAAGGAAAAAATTACAACTTGTAAATGAAAACATCCATTTAATATGTTATTGTTAAACAAGAGTCTGACGGGACTCATACGTAATATGATATACATAGTCCAATTAAAACGATTATTTCAATTTCATTAAAAGTACAGCATAAGATGAAAGGAAAAAACAGCACAAAATTTGTACATAGTCTTATAATTGCTTCAACATGAAGTAAAGCTTCCTAAAATAAACTAAATAATCGATGAAAAAAAGGACAATACTATCGTCATCGTCGGCATAAATATAATTTTGCAAAAATGACTAAATACGTTGCCTATATAATTATATTGAGAAGCATAATTAAAACTAAATGCTAGTCGAGTTTCACACGATTATAAAATGCAGTGTGAAGCATGAATATTGTGTATCAGGAAAAAGGAATATCTTGTTTTACTGGAGTCAGCGTTTCCTTCTGTGCTTTCAAATTCTAAAAGTCCCATTTCGACCTATCTGATAATGGCAGTAGAAAAGTAGCTGAAAGGCAGATATGATGAAATTCATCACTACGAGAACTCCATCGAAGCATATCAACATATTTCTCACGAACGATATCTATTGACCATTGAATTACTTTAATAATTCATTATCTGTTATCCGCTGTATTCATAGTTGTTAATTATATTGAAATGCAAAAAATGACCGGGGCCTTCAAAAATTTGCCATTTTGAATCTCGATTTATAATGAAACGGAACCTTCTATAGAAGTTATGAGAAAAAACTGGTATCAATTCGATCTTGATATCTTCAATTCGCAGTTTAAACAGATTTTTTTTTTTGTGAACTTTTGTTCTCGAAATTCTTACGGTACAAAATACAGATTTTGAATGTGTATGTCGCGGAAAAAAGATGACAAATGATCGAATGGTCGCTATAAAGTGCTTCGCTCCTTAAAAAGAAATAAAGTAAACTCCGGGCGGACTCCGCAAATTCAGTGCTTCCCACATCATTAAAAAACAAAACAAAGCAAAATGAAAATCACATTAGTCTATGCTTGAAAATCATCATGAAATTAGATAAATATTGGCAGAAATGCATTGTTTGTGGGCCTTTAGTTGAAGAGTTTCATCTGGCTTCTTTTGTATTGAGTTAAGTTGACAAAATAATGGATAAAAGAAAAAAACACAGTTGTCCTTTGTAACAAAAAAAATATATATATAAAAAGCTAGTTTCACATCAGATTATAATCAACACATTAGAAGTGACTCCAAGAAAAAAGTCTTACATTCGGTTAAAGTAGATTTATTTCAACGAAAATCTATGAATTCGAATTCAATAAATCATAAATTTACGTCTATCATTGAACAATATTCAAACGATCAATCAACTAGAAACAAGGTTTGTTAGTTTTTCAAAGTATATAACAGATCGGATATATGAATAAAATAAGGTTGCAGAAAACATTTATTCGTCAAAATTCTTTATTAGATTATTATTTTTCAATAGAGAAGAAATCATATTCTGATTGTATCATTACTAATAATTTGCAAAAAGAATTTTTCATAAGTTTTGACTCCATTCTTATCTTTATTTTTTGTATTTTAACCGTATTTTAAGGTAGATGAATATTGAATAGATTTATTTGAGGAATTGCAAATAAGCTGTTCGTTATGAAATTTTAGTTTATTCAGATTCTCTCATAGGCAGTATCGTTTCGAGAATAACTTTGCCTTGGTTCTATAAAAACGAATGAAAGAAGATATTAGATGCTATGACAAATCGTTTTAAATCATCTGATTTCGATTGATTTCTCGTTATTTGCTTTCATTTCTAAGATTCCGATGATTTCTGTTGATTCGCAGTAAATAAATAAAAACTAATTTCCAGTAACAGAAATCATTGGAAATAAAAGCTCTCAAACAAATGAAAGAAATTAGTTTGTTTTTCCTTGGTTCAAATACAGAAATAAAAACTTAAAAAAACACTCTTGATAATCTTGTTCTATTTTTCAACAGTTGTTGAAATCGTCAAAATATAGATTCTGCATCCGTGGCAAGCTGTGTATAATTCCATAAAAATAATGGATAAATTTTTCTATGAGCATTGCAACATCAAATATTGAAGTTATTCATACTCCATAATTTGCGTAGAAACTTTTAGGAAAAATCAATCGTGACAATATGATACTTGACACAAGTTTTACACGACTATAAAAGATATCCATTCTTTATTAATGTCATTTTAGCCCTTTGAAAGATGAATTAGTAAAAGTGCTATTGCACAAATTGAAGTTAATGAAAAAAAACATACTTTTGAACTTGAAACATCTAAAAAATATTCATCTATATTATATTAAAGAAGTAAGTAATGACAGTCAATATCATTCAAAAGCGAGTTCAACACCTATCACATCTACAATTATGTTACTGAAAAAGTTAATCATCTAATTATTTGTCTTTCCTAGATTTCCGATTCACGCTCATCTTCGTCATCTCCTCATTTACAAAATTATAAAACAACAGCTCAAAAACGAGCAACAACAAATAATCTTCATCGAATACCAACTAAATCAAAGTAACATTCTTTTTTGTCTTTTTCTATCTACTAAGTATTTTTATTTATTTGACAGATGGTCAACTAGAAAGAGACTTTTAGTAGGTATTGCAGTATTTTTGCTAATTGCTGCTTTTATTACCGCTGCAATAGTTCTCGGTATTTTGCTGACGAAATCAAAAGGTAAACTTACCTTTTAATAATATAGGAACTGTTCTTAAACTCTACCTTAGTTTTCTATAATTATTCATGAGACAAAAGATCTTTTATAATCTTTGGTGTTCACAAAGTACTTTTAAATAAATAAAAAAAAGAATAAACTTCTTGTAATGATTAGCTTTTTCAATAACTAATTTATCTATTTAATATTTTTTTAAATAGAAACAACAAGTACAACAACAACTACTGTATCTTCAGTAATTGTTTCTGCATATTGGAGTTTCGATAATACAACAACCGATTCATATGGTGTTTATAACGGCCTACTTGTGAATAATCCATTGTTTACTACTTCAGGCGCATCTAATCTGCCATATGTAGGACATGGTCAAGCACTTAACTTTAATTCAGCATCAAATCAATCATTTGTAGTTTCGAGTCCATTTTTCAATTTAAGCTACACAAGTTTTACAATTGAAGCTTGGATTTATTACTCAACGTCTGTCTCTGATCGTGGAATATTTGGTCAATGTCAATGTTCAACCTGTTCTAATCAATGTTTATATTTAATTATCCGAAATAATCGTTTGTACGTTGATTTCACATCGAATTATTTGTCTGGTTCCACAGCTATTTCAACTAGTTATTGGTATCATATTGCATTTGTTTACAATTATGAAACACGACAACAAATATTATATCTTAACGGAGTTCAAGATGCTATCAAATCAAATGCACAACCATATCAAGGACAAAATGGAAGTATCCACATTGGTTCAGCTCAAACTTATTCGACGACATACTATTATCAGAGTTATATTGATAATGTCGCAATAACAACAAGAGCAAAATCTTCAGTAGAAATTTTACGTGATGCATCTTTAATGGCTTACTATTCATTTGATTCACCAAATCCAAATGCTGATAATGGTCCGAGTGGATTAAATGGGACATCGAGTAATACAGCGACAGTTAGTGGACGTGTCAATGAAGCAATGCGTTTTCTTGGTTCATTATCATCCTATTTTCGAGCTTACGGTCTTTATCAGGTTCCTTATGGTGTTGTTAACGCCAAACCATTCTCAATGGCTATGTGGATATATCCATCATCACTTAACAATATAGCAATAATTCAGATGTTTGGGACAAGTGTCATGTCATCTAATTGTGTAACTTTGCTTGGTATTTACTCAGCTAGTAGTAGTACAACAACGGGACAACTTATTATATCCAACTATAATTCGTACGCATCATATTTGACTGGTCCATTTGTAACGCAAAATACATGGACACACATTTCATTGACATATAGTTTTACAAATGGATACACATTGTATGTTAATGGAGTTCTTTTTGGTTCAACTGGCACTGTGTCATACACGTCGTCCGGTACATTGGCAAATCTTTACATAGGTTATCCGTATACTTGTTCTTCAAGTTCTGTAAATGGATATTATCAGGGTTACATTGATGAACTCTATATTTATAATCGAGAACTATCACAAGCAGATGTTACTAGTCTGGCTAATCCGTGAACTATTTTTAATACGATAAAGACATTATACTATATTATACCTCATTATCCTCTAAAAAATAACTACATTCCATCATTATATTGCTTTTCTTGTAGTTAGAAATAGGTGTGCCATATATTTTCTGTGTTTTTTCAAACATCAATAAAATCTTATAACCAACGATGATATTCAATCTAATCGATGAGTATGTTGGGAAGGATATGAATATCTCATATTCTAATACATTTAATTCAAATGAAAACTTTTAGGTTGGGACTGCACAGTTAATCAAGTAAAACAATTGATGTTTTATATTTGTTTCATTTTCTTATGAATAGAATCTCCATAGGACATTTACTGAAAAACTTTTTACACACAGCACTTATCATTATCGAAACTTTCTTCTATAAAAGCTTATCGCAATACTATACGTATAATAAACAAAATTTTTTTTAATTATATTTTTATCTTTAAAACTATTGATTATAATAACATAATTAAGATTATCAATAAGAATAAAACTGACATACACAATAAATTAGACTTTCTAGACAAATCGAATATCAGACAGACGTTTCGCGAAGGTACGAAAATTCGGTAGAAGGATGTATGGGAAAATATCTCATGGAGATGGTTAAAAATATCAAAAAACGTTGACAGTTTGATTGGATCATAATGAATCATTTTCAATTATTCAGGGATATACATCCTCACTGAAGAGTTGGAACCGGTCCAGAGTTTTTTAACTGATCTGGTCTGCTGCATCATTCTTAATTAGTTCATGGAGATGCCTTAAAAACTCATTCAGTTTTCTGTTCACAATCAACTTTTGAATAAATCTATAGGAAGAACATGTTAATGTGAATGTACTATTGTGACTGACGAGAACTTTGCATTTATACTTTCTCTTAGAATATAAAGAGTATTATGACAACTTGTTGCCTAAAACTCAATATTCTTAGTATTCGGCCCATAGATGTACACTCAGATCGAGGAATACATAGTTATTTGTATTTACACCACTACTTTGCTTCATACGGCTTCTAAACGGACCATATTTCCGTGTATTCTTGAGTACTGTATAAGAACCATATCGTTCAACCTAAGCAGTTTTGGAGTTATAAATGCAAAGGATATACGAAAAGTGTGAAGTTTTTTAGTCGAACATTGCTGATAATTTTGCAATAACAATAATAAGTCAATTAGGAAGAAAAAACTTCAATAAGAAAAATGAAATAATAAATAAATTATTTTAATGTAAGCATAGTGGACTTTAATTTCACAAATAGGAATTCTCAATCGTTTTTATATTCATTGATATATTTTTATGTTTAACAATTAGTTTATGTTATAGATTAATATTGATTTTTTTTCGTTACTGTAATTTTGACTTTCTTGTTGTTAATGTTTGTTTTTCAATAAACAATCAGGTTAAGATCATAAATGATGATCGTATTGAATAAAAAGAGTGCGAAAATTTTGATTTCTACATTAAAATTCAACTGCGTTATTATGATTTATTTGTTCATTATTACATTGTTTCAATGAGTTTTTTTCTTTCAAAATTACTTGTTATTGTCAATGCAGAATAATACACTTGAAAATTTAATTTTTCATTTGACGCCATTCATTTTTACTTGAATCAATATTATGTACATCGAGGTATATCTTTCTGAATTAATTTATGTTGTGCTTGTTTGATTTCTGTTTGTTTTGATACAAACAGTCAGGTTAAAGTCGCAACTGATGTCTTGATAAGCTGATAATCGCACTAAAGCAAAAAAGAAGATTGAAAAATTCTATTTGTAATGAATTATACTAAAGTACAAAGTTATAATTTATTTTTTTTACTATAACATTATAAGCAACTCTTCATTATAGTATACTGTCTTTTTTCTTGTAAATTATAGAAACAATTTTTAGACTTCTTGTTAGAAAATCTTTTGTTAAACTTTTTATTGTTGCATTCAAATATGTTTTTTCATTAATTTAATGATAGTGGACTATGCATTTCAATACAATGTAGAACCTGATATTTTATTTATTATCTTATTGAAATCTATAGGAATTCAGTTAATTTTATTTTCACTCTATGCTCAAAAACAATGAATATATTATTATATTAAACTAAACTGTACCATTACAAAATATAAGTTTGATGCAATTGTTTAATCATCATCGAATTAATTTTCAATTTAAAAGTAATAAATCTAGTTTATTTTCATCTGAATAAATTCACAATGAAAACAAATATTTTTTTTTAAATCCAAATAGTACAACAATTGAAATTAATTTCAAAATGTTCAAGTCGAAGACAGATTAGCCTACAAATAATAATAATCCAATGATTTTGATTAATTTTCAAATATCTATACAATCAAAAGAAATGAGTAATCATCAAATTTTTGATAAGAAGAATATATTGCAGAGCATATTCTTAGGTTAGTTTGGAAAGATTCTTTTTATTTTACCTTATTCTTAAAATATTTAATCGTAACTTCTATTAGAAAAAAATATTCTTACAGTTGTCATTCGATGTAGTTTTTTTTTCTTCTGATATGTCATCAAAATACAAAGTGAGACATGCCCATATACTCTACAAAATTGATTGTATTTATCTGATGAAGTGAAAAATACAACTTGATAATAAAAACGCCCATTTGATATATTATTGATAAACAATAATAATATTCGAGGTTTTATACATATTACAATTCACATCATCTAATTCAATTGTGTATTTGAACTTTATTTCAAGTGCGAAACAACATGATCAAAAAAAACAATCAAAAAGAATATCTACGCAATATTGTTTTATTGTTCCAAGGTCAAAAATGAACCAAATAGTTGACAAAAAAAAATAATGACACTGTGATCAGATTGACGTAGAGATATTTTTTCCCAAGTAACAAAAACGTTGCCTAGACATATTGCGAGACATAATAAAAAGAAAAGCAAAACAAAAAGTACAATGATCTGTGTTCGAAACTTATCATGTAATTAAAAATAATATAGACCGAAGTTCGTTGTATGTGTGGCTTTCACCGAAGAGTTTCGTTTGCTTTTGTTTATATTCAATTAAATTAAGAAGAGAATGAAAAAGAGAAATCAAAAGAAAAAAACAAAACAATTGTCCTCTATATAAGAAAAATAAAAAAGCTGTTATCAAATCAAATTTTAATCGTTACATCCAAAGTGAAATAATGAAAAAAGTCATACATTCAGTTAAAATTGGTATGGTTCGACGAACATCTGTACCTTCGCATGAAAATGATTATGAATTAACATCTGACATGGACCAAAATTCAAATCATCAGTCAAATAAAAACCAGGTTCGTCAGTTTTCGAAAGTATATTGAATATCGAATGTAGCGATAAGATGATTTTATAGAAAAAAAATCATGCGTCAAAACTCTTTATTATACTTGTGTTTTTCAATACACAAGCAATCATATTCTGATTGTATCAATATTCACAGAATGTTTCAAGAATTTTTAAAGTGCATAGATATTGAATAGATATATTTGAAGAATAGCACATAAATTGTTATTCAAGAGAAATTCGACTTAATTTGCATTAGTTCAAAGAAAGGTACCACATTTGCAAGAATATCAAAAAAGAATTTAATCAAAGGTATTTTTTTTGGCGCGGCCGAACATTACGGAATTTCATTTGTTCATCTTTAGTAAGCCGTATCTTTTTTGAAAACAAAAATTAATATTCTGGAGTTTTCATAATAGATGGATCCCAATAAGATCTAATCTTCTTGTAAATTTTATTCTTTTTGAAAGAATTAAAACAGAGTTATCATAGGAAAATGCTAATCATTATGCACTTTCATCGTTTCAAGAGTTTGTAGTAGTCAAATTTTTCGTAGAATAGCACTGTTTTGTTTCTATCAAAATGAATGAAATTTCCATGGTGATTAGATTTGACTGACATCCATCGGTAATGAAAATTTCAAAATACTTACTTTTGTCTTCATGAAGATACGACTCGGAAAAAAGGAACAAATAAATTTCTGTAACGTTCAACCACTTCCAAAAACATAAATTCGATCAAATTTTTTCGATATTTATACCAATACGATATTTTCTTTGAATTAATGTAAATTCAGCCTAATTTCTCTTGAATAACAATTTATGTGCTACTCTTCAAATTTGTATATTTCACAACCATTCACCTTCACATACCGTCAGCATACAAATATGAAAATCGCTCGAGAATTATGAAATACCCTTTAAACATTACCAAATTTTTCTGATTGATGAGATATCTTTATCAATGGATGATAGCCTATGTGAATTTTTCAATTAAATGATTTTCTTAATTGTTACGATGGATAGATAAATATACACTACACCCTAGAGGACTTCTATGCGGTGATAATCTAAGCTTGATTGTGCAAAATCAATATAAACCTAAGTGATTCTAATTGAAATTAGTGGAGAGAAAGAGCAACGCTCGTACTATCAGGTATTTCATCATTGATTAATTATGATTCGAATCGCGAAAAATAAAGAAAACTAATACTCTAGATTGCTTACAATGCAACCGTAAGAAATCACATTACTGAGTGAAAAGTACAAAAACTTCAATATTTTCGTCTGATAGTTTGATTAGAAATAGAGTTCAGTAAACCTTGATTCTGACCAGAAACCTGAAGCTGAGAAACCTTAATGCAAAGGATTTAAGATGAACTGAAGCTACATATGTCATTTGCAACGATTTTCATAATCCCTCACATGTAGGTTGCTCAAAGATTACTTCATAAATCAGATGAACTAAAACCAATTGACATGGGATTTTTATTGGTGAAAGAGGAAACATTAAGCAATCGAATAAGAGATTTGATTTCATGAGATGTGCTTATATGAAGAGAAATCTATGCTGATCTTCAAGCTCCCTCACATAAAGACTGACTAACTCCTAATCAGTTCTTACAATCAGAATTCAACATTACTCTGTTTGTGATCGAGCTATCATACTACAGGATTAAAGTTTAGGCACTCTTTTTTTACCCAGTAGCAGAAGTTGTTTCCATAACTGCATTGAATGTCCATTTCTTGTCTAAAAACTTTATTCTATGTTAATGTCGTTTTAGCTCTTTGAAAGACGAATTAGTAAAAGTGCTATTTCTCAACTTGACGTTCGTCAAAAGAAATATATTTCTTCGCTTGAAACACCTAAAAATGTTCGTCTACATCATATTGAAGAAACAAATAATAACAATCAACATCATTCAAAAGTAAGTTAAACACATATTACATCTACAGTCATTTTTTAAAAACCTAATTAACACTTAATTATTTATTTTTCTTAGATATCCAACCCACCATCGCCTACATTATCTCCTCATCTTCAAAAATATAAACCACCAACTCAAGAATCAACAATAACCACTAACAATCTTCATCAAATACCTACTATATCAAAGTAACATTTTTTTTTGTTTTTTTTCTATGCACTAATTCCTATTCATTTATTTTACAGATGGTCAACAAGAAAGAAGGTTTTAGTGGGCACTTCAACATCTTTGATAGTCGCATCTGTTATTACAGTTGCCACTGTTCTTGGTGTTTTGCTTACGAAATCCAAAGGTAAATTTACTTTAAATAATTTTGAATTCCTTTTCAACGTTAAACTCTATCTTAATCGTCTATAATTATTCATGAGATAAGAATTTTTCTATGATCCTTAGTATTCTCAGAGTAATATATAGGTTTTTAAAAAGACATAGTAAACTTCTTATAGTGGCAATTGTATTCAATCACTCATTGATCCTTTTTGGGTATTTTTTATCATAGAAACAAGTACAACAACTACTACTGCATCTACCGTAAATGTTTCTGCATATTGGAGTCTCGATGGTACAACAGCAGATTCAAATGGTGTTTATAACGGCCTACTTGTAAACAATCCATTGTTTACTGCTTCAGGTTCAAATAGTCTGCCATATGTAGGACATGGTCAAGCACTTAACTTTACTTCAGCATCAAGTCAATCATTTGTAGTTTCGAGTCCATTTTTCAATTTAAGCTACACAAGTTTTACTATTGAAGCTTGGATTTATTATGCAACAACTACTTCTGATCGTGGCATATTTGGTCAATGTCAATGTTCAACCTGTTCTAATCAATGTTTATATTTAATTATGCGAAATAATCGTTTGTACGTTGATTTCACATCGAATTATTTGTCTGGTTCCACAGCTATTTCAACTAGTTATTGGTATCATATTGCATTTGTTTACAATTATGAAACACGACAACAAATATTATATCTCAACGGAGTTCAAGATGCTATCAAATCAAATGCACAACCATATCAAGGACAAAATGGAAGTATCCGCATTGGTTCAGCTCAAGTTTATTCGACCACAAGCTATTATCAGAACTATATTGATAATGTTGCATTAACAACAAGAGCAAAATCTTCAGTAGAAATTTTACGTGATGCATCTTTAATGGCTTACTATTCATTTGATTCACCTAATCCAAATGTTGACAGTGGTCCGAATGGATTAGATGGAACATCAAATAATATAGTCTCAGCTACTGGGCGCGTCAATGAAGCAATGCGTTTTCTTGGATCATCGTCATCCTATTTTCGAGCTTATGGTTTTTATCAGATTTCTGTTGGTGTTGTTAATGCCAAACCATTTTCAATTGCCATGTGGATAAATCCATCATCAGTCAATAATATCGCAATTATTCAAATGTTTTGGTCACTTGGTAGTACATCAAATTGTGACATTTTACTAGGTATTTCATCATCAAATACATTAACAGGACAGTTGTTTGTACACAATACTGGTTCCACTGCATGGTTAACCGGTCCATTTGTAACACAAAATACGTGGACACACGTGTCATTGACATATAGTTCAGCTAATGGATACACATTGTATATTAATGGAGTTCTTTTTGGTTCAACTGGCACGGTGTCATACTCGTCTACCGGTTCTTTCGCAAATCTTTGCATAGGTTATCCGCTTAGTTGTAGTTGGAGTTCTATAAATGGACTTTATCAGGGTTACATTGATGAACTTTATATTTACAATCGAGAACTATCACAATCAGACGTTACTAGTCTTGCCAATCCGTGAACTATTACTAATATGATAAAGACATTATTAGCACATAATTCTCCTTTATTCTCGAAAAAACCTATATTCCTTCATTATATTGCTTTTCTTGTAGTTAGAAATAAGCGCATCATATATTTCTTGTATCTTTTTCAAATATCAATAAAATCTTATAACTAAAGATGATATTCAATCTAATCGATGAATATGCTGGAAATGATATGAATATGTCCTATTTTAATAAATTTTATTCAAAGGAAAACTTTATAGTTAGGTCTACATAGATGATCATGTGAAATAATTGATGATCTACACTTGTTCGATGTTCTTGATGATACAATCTTCACAGGGCATTTACTAAAAAAGTTTTTTCATACGGTATTTATCGTCGTCGAAATTTTTCTCTACAACATAAACGAGAAAGAACGATAAAGCTATACTAAACAATTATTTCTTTTTATTAAAATTTTTGTCTCTAGAAGTATCGTTCATAATCACACAATTAAGATTATCAATATAAATAGAAAGGATAAGAAATACTGATATATAAAGTAATCTAGACTTTCTTGACAAATCAAATATCAGAGAGCAGCGACACAAGGATACCAAGATTGGGTAGTGGAGTGTACAAGAAAATGTCTTATAGAAGTAATAAAAAATTTAGAAAAAATTGTCAATTTCATTGGATAATAATGAATAATTTCCAATTATTTGGAGGGTATACTCCTACACCAGAATTGTAATCGATCGGAAATTTTTGATATGGTTCGATCCGGCTGGCTCAAATAGTAGCTTAGACCTCTGAAAGCCGAAAAAACTGGTTGAGTTTGTTGGATAGCTAGGCAATATGGATGGTTTTAAAAAATAAGCATTTTCTTGAGTCATTTAGACATCAAGTGATTGCTAAACTTGAAATCTCGAGTTTTCTTACTCATTATTTTTAAACACAAAACGTTTCTTTACTAACGATGATCCAAACCTAAATTTCATCTGTACCAAAACGTACATAATATAAGTTTACCTCAAGTTATACAGCTCTGATTGTACTTTTTAAAAAATGAAATATATCTCGAGCAAAGAAAGAAAATACCACCGATGAACAGAAGAAAATAAAACTAATAGTTCTTGAAATAACAATCTTTGATGATTTTCATAAGAACAAGTAAATCTACTCTCGACAAGTTTTATCGGTAAAAAATGGAATATCTATCAAATATTTTTCAATCAGTAAAAGTCGATGAAGATCGAACTGATTACATCTCTGCCTCATTCGCGTCCTGCTCTCACGATCTCTCATATCAGAAAGTATTATGTAAGAATTATACTTACAGAAGAAATAATTTAGCTGAAGAACATAGTGTTCAAAGAGCGTTCGTGAAGCTATGTACAATAGCTATGACGGAAATGAGTTTTGATTGAAAAACACATTTGTGTAAAGACAATTGACACTCAACGTATGATTTTATGTACGTGCTGTGAACAGCTCACGTAGCAAATTTGGAAAATGAATAACAATGAGACTAATTTAATTGAATCGATTAAAAGGTATAATACAGATGTGATGTGTAATAACAGATAAACATAACTTGAAACTTTACCTCGTACTTTTTATATCCGAAGGATAAGACAACTTTTATGTCACTGATGTTTCGAACAACAATTTAGAAAAAAAAATATATGCCCCGGGTGAGGATCGAACTCACGACCTTCAGATTATGAGACTGACGCTCTACCGACTGAGCCACCGCGGCGGCAGTAATCAATAAAGAGTTCGACGCTTAGAGAATTTCACATGTAATAACAATTCTAGTAGAATTATTTTCGAACAAGAAAAATACACAATTGATTTGAAAAGCAAGAGCTTTCTCCATTTTCTCCAAGTAGTCCGATATTAGAGCAAAAATTTATAAACCATAACCGATTCTCTTAAATTATAATTAGATGGCGCTAGTGTTCTCGAACACAATCATTTCATACGATTCAGTTTTTAACATGATGAAATTCAAGTGTTTATTATTTAACATCGAACAGAAAAATTTTACAACAACAAAGAAAAATATATCTTTAATAATTAATACATATCATCTTCATCATCTGCTTGATTATCAGCATTCATTTTATTAATTTTTTCTTGTCTACGATAAAGATCAGCAACTTGTTCAGCACTTGTTGCATCTTCAACTGATTTATCTTCTCTTTCACGTAAAAATCGAGGAAAACGAAGAGATATTCCTTTTCCTTCATCAACCTAAATATCCAAGAAGAAAAGAAAAGTTTACAAACAAAATTGATTTTTTTTGTTTGTTATACTTACAAGTCCAATAGCTGCATGATGATTAGGTGATAAAGATAAATCAGCACATTTAACTTCCCAAACTTTAATTGCATCAAACCAAACATCTGGTGTTAATGATGAAGAATAACGATAATAAGCCAATGGTTTTGATATTATATGTGGTTCCAATGATTTACCAAGTGAAACAAGTAATTCATCAGTAAATCCAGTGCCTAACTAAAATCAATTATATTCAAATATAATTTTTTAAAAAACTTTTCTTTTTCTTGATAAAACTCACTTTACAAATACATTGATATTCTTCATTATCTTTATCATAACATGCTAATAAATATCCTCCATAAACACCGGTTCGTTTACCTTACAAAAAAATCAATATACAGCAAAACTATAATTCAAAGAAAAAACTCACCTGTGCCTGTATAAGCACCAATAACAACAAGATCAAGTGTATCACCAACACCATCAAGATAATCTTTTTTTAACTAAATAAAACAAGAAACTAAATTATTATGGTTAGTTTTAAAATTTACTTTAAGCCATTTATGAGATCGTTTAGCTATTTCATAAGTTGCATCATTATCTAATGTTTTAACCATAAGACCTTCACAACCATCTTTAACTGATTGTTCCAAATACATATTTATTTCATCAATATTTGATGTTGTACGTGATTCAGCAAAAACAAGTTCACCAGGTATACAACGAATTGATTCATGTAATAAACGACGACGTTCACGAAAAGGTTTTTCAACCAATGATTCACCATTTAAATATAATAAATCAAATGCAAATATACAAACTAAATTAAGAATTTATTTTATGCAAAAAAAAATTGTTTTCAAACAACAAAAAAAAAAAAAAAAAAAACCTTGAACTTTTATTTCTTTGATATCAGCATCCTTAAAAATGAAAAGAAAATCATAAGATTATATTTTAATTTGCAAAAAAATCTTGAGAATATGATTTGATTGAGAGGAAAATCAATAGATTTATTAATTCTTTTAAGTATTTATTTAGTTGTATTTGAAATAAGTTCAGAATTATTATCATTTCTTCCAATATAAATCTCAAAACTTCGTAATTTAGGTCTAGTGGTTTATTTTAAGACGTAGAGTGATATATTTTCAAAAATGAATAATTTATTTTTATCAATTACTAAGAGAAAAAGCTATAACTTTATACAAAATAAGTCTCAGTAGGAAAACGTATTCATCGAATGTTACCTATTGAATCGATCTATTAAATAGTTTTTACATCTTAACTCCAAAGGAATCATGCTAACAAAATTTGTCTTAGTTGAAGAAGAATTTTAAAAAGTCTCTTTTTTGGATATTGAAAAAAACTTACTTTTCGTTTTCTTGTTGATAATGTTTGAAAAGGTAATAATTTTTTTTGTTCAATATCATAAGCAACACATTCACCATCCAAAATTAAAGATTTAACATGAGATTGAAATGCATTATGAATTCGTTCAATAATATCTGGATATTTTGATGTATTATTTTCTGAATTTCTTGAATAAATATAAATTTTTCCATCTTCAGTTAAATGAATCTAAAATAAAGATTTTTCTTCAATTAAAAAAAACCTTTGAAAATTCGTTTTTTTTTCTTTCTTACTTGTGCACGTTCTCCATCATATTTATATTCACAAGCAAATTCACTTTGTCCACAACGTTTTAATATTTCATCAATACCTTTTGATGGATGTGCTAACATTGGTTTCATTGGTATACCAGGTGTTGCTTTACATAAATCTTTTAATTTTTCAATACCACCTTTATTAACAAGTACATCAACAAGTATATCATAGGATGGACATTGACAAAAAGCATCTTTAACAGCAAGTGTACCATTATCAAGACGTTCTTTTAATGTTGTTTCTTTTAAATTTAAATATTGATTACGAATACATGCATGTGCTAATGCAACAAGCATCGATTGTTCAGCTAAACCAATACGAAGTTTACCAATTAATGATCGAACAAGATAACGACTTTCATGAGATTGACAAGAAACTAAAAGACTTTTTATTATATCACTTTTACGTTGTTGACTCTTTTTTTTGGAACAAAAAAAAAAAATTATCGTTTTATTTTTGATTCGTATTAAAAAGTTTACTTTATTTCCAGTTAATTGTGCAATTTCTTTTAATTTTTTATAAACATGTGAAACAGTTAATGGTTTCGGTTTAAACATTGTACGTTGTGTTGAACGTGATGCCTGAATATTAAAATTGAAATTAAGTTTCAATTATTTTATGATAGATAAAATTGAAAATTACTTCAGCAACAAGACCTAAATCTCCTTTAGATTTATAATCTGATTTTAATTGTTCAACAGTACGTCCAGTACTATCAGCAATAGCTTTCATAATTATTGTTTCACCAATACCTAATTCAATTCCATCATATTCTGGTGCAACTTTATTAACACATAAATAAACACAATGTACTAAATCATTTGATGATAAACTAAGAACTGAACGAAAAAAATTTGATAATATACGAATTATTTCTAAACGAGCTGATGTCTCTTCAATTAATAATAATGTTAATGATAATGCACTGTATGGTACACTAAAATATAAAACAGAATATTGAATAACTTATTTTATTGATACATTTATAATCTCGAATGATCTTTTTTTTTCCTTTTTTCAAATGAATAATAGCGCTTGAGATTCTACACAATATGACACACTGTATTTAACAAAAGTAGCTTCTTCTATTCTTTTCCGATTGCACGTAATCGTTCATCCAAATGAAGTAGAAAATATAAATTTAGTTTTCAGATTCTTCAATGGAAGGTTTTATTTCGTCTATCAATACTACGTTTGTTGTTCCGCAAGACTAATAAATAGCTGTACTCAATTCAATATATCTGATTATTACAATGCTGAGATTGGAATCTGAGTAGGATAGAAATAGACATGAAAGGTGCTGGTCTTGAGAAGACGAAATTCCCGGTAAAAGTGATGATGCAGTTCAATGTCTGTAGATCTCTTAATAAAAATGCTATGCTCATCATTTTCTTGAGTTTAGTCCGACTTCACAACTCACGCAGTTTATATCGTTCGGGTCATAGTTTAATGAATGCATTGCTCAAAAAAAGTTGAACAATATAACTTTTCTTGCTTTATTTGGATGTATGATTATGTCTAATCCAAAAAGAATGGAGGAAATTATATTCATCACATAATCTATACCATTATGTGTCGAATTTCAAATACTATATTTTGATTAAAAGTAAAAGAACAGTTTATTCTGCACTATTAGATATTAATTTCATTGTGAATAAAAAGAATCTTTATATTTACTTGTCACCGAGTTTCCAACAAGCATCATTAATTGGATCATAATTTGTTTTACCAGGATTATATGATTGAGGATCAGCAACACTAGAATGGTTTTTCTTTCTGTGTTGAAAATTTTTGTTTACAAAAAAAATGCTTGAATTACTTTTTTTGTTCGATTGTAATAGTTGTTGGCTGTTCAATAGGAACAGTTGTTGTTTGTTCAATTTGAGTAATTATTTTATTATTTTCATCTTTTGTATCAATAATTTTCATTTGTTTAACAATTTTTGTTGGTGTTTCTTTAATATTTTCTATTGATGAATTACTTTTTTGATCTTGATCACTTTCATCAAAACTTAAAACACGTTTTTTTGCTCGTTTTGTTGGAACAAATGATAAAGATTTATCATCAGAATCTGATGATGGAGATTGTAATGGTTCTTTATTTTCTATACGAATTGATGGTGGTTCGACTTCTTTTTTTGGTGTTTTTATTATTGATGAATCTTTTTTTGCAAAAAAAGAACTTAAACAAATTGATTAAAAATTTATTAAAATTAAAAAAACAAAGAAATTTTTTAACATACGCAATTGATGGTTGATTAGTTTTTTTTTGATTATTCATTGAAATTTTCTTTTTATAAGTTGATAAATATCTTAAATGATGTTCATTATTAAATAAAATTTGAACAAAGCGAATAGACAAACAATGTCTTACAGACATCTGAAACATTTTTAAGTAAAAAATAATCATTGGTTTTTTTCACCTATCCAATAAAAACTATATTATGACTTCAGCGAGGACAATATTGTTTGTCTATGGCTGACATATATTCTTCGTTTTCCTGTTATTCATGTCGATGACAATTAATGCTCTAGTTAGTTAATTAAATATTCTCTCTTTTGTTTTTTTCTAATAAAAATATCCTTTTTGATTTAAAGCGTCGAACATTATCATTTGCTGCTGTGACTTTTCAAGAGATCCTCTATATTAGCAAAGTGAAATAGTAAGAAAATCGATTTTATTTTGATCATCATGCATAGGAGAAATCGATTCTTGTTTTTGAAAAATTAGTTTTATTAAATAGATATTTAGAATTGTTTGTTTCGATGCAGGATTGGATCATGAAAAAAAAAACGAGGAAAATGTCAAACATATTATTGAACATCCATCGATGAATACTGTTTATGCCATAACTTATGATCCACATAAATGTATATGACGTTTTTTTGTTTTCTATGAAATGATTTTCTTTCGAGTAGATCATCTTTATGCTATTAGTGGTTACAATGATTTCAATGAAGCTCTTGGTTATACACATTCAACATCAGTTCTCATTCAGAAAATTTAGAAATTTGGTGAATCTCATGATTTAACATTGAATGTTGATGGTCGATTTTTATTTGTTGATGAAATTTGTCCGAATCGTATTCATTTATTTAATATTCTTGATTAATTCGATTTCAAATCTTAGTAAAAACATTCGAACATCTTACAATAGAACGGATTTGTATTGTTAGTTAAAAAGCAAACTCTTACTTAAATTTATTGACAAGATAAAGATGTATGAAAATGTTTTTCATCATATGAAATAATCGTCGATGAACGATAAAAATAAGAATATTCTTCATTTTTTTCAAAGTTGAGATTATGATAACAGACAATCGTTCACAGTTGATAACTATTATGCAAGGATGTTATAAAGCGTAAACAAGATGATCTACCAATCATTACCCAGGGACTTAAAAAATGTACGAGATAAAAGTGAGAGATATTATTAAAAATCGTGAAAGAAATCTGTTGATTTTAATTTCAACATCATTCCTTGTTTCAATAGTATCAATCGATAATCGATCAACAATAGGCTTTTCATTGAAACGGAGAAAAGAATTTCTAAGGCATGACCCGAAAACTATTAAATTGTTGTTACATTTGCAGAGTTAGATAAGAAAATAGGATACTTTCTTTTTTGTCTGTTTCAAAATATCTTTTCTTAACTTCCACAACTACACAATACACTCGATCCGATTCGATCGAATGTAAATTCTTTTCGTGTACGCATTGTATCTCTATATAGTGTGACATTAACGGATAGAACAACGCTACAACATCGTAGTTTTTTTTGATTGATGCACGACCAATCTATGTGGCCTATTCCATGGAGTTTCGACCATGAAAACACATAACTCCTTCGAATCGACTGAAAGTTATCCCATTTTGTAGAGCTCAGCGAGAAATATTTACTGTAAAAAAAATCAGCTTAGAATACCATTCCATTAGGGAGATATGGGGTCCATAAGTTTAGCTGGAAATGGCCATAAATGCTAAAAATCCAGAAAACTTGAAAGTTTCTTAAATTTTGTGGTCTTCACTTTTTCGATTTTCAATAAGCGAAAATTAATTCCAATTATATATTCTGGTTCCTCATGATCTGATGCGTTCGCTCATATGTTTCTTTTTATTTTTCACAAACCCAATAAAATTTTTCTCAGAGCCATTCTTGTACCCTATCAAAAAATGAGGGTGCTCAAACTCGGGCCGTAGGAAGTCGCTTCAGACGGATTCTACAATTTGGTGACTTAGTGGGTTTGGTAGAGAAGACTTTGCTCTATCAAACCCTATATATGGAATTTTATTCCAATGCGAAATGATTGAAATATTAACGTCGACTTTTTATGGAAAATAATAGTCCATAATCAAGCAAATCTGTCGATTCATAGATTTTACTGAAAAATGTTTCTTCTTATGGATAACTAAATGTAACTAAAAAAACCACTTATCTAACATTAGAAAACACCTTTTAACACTTCGATTGACACATGAAAAGTTATAGTATGGTTATGTGTTGCAATATATAGAGTCAATATGATATAATGAAAAATAGTACGATAATAAATAAGTTGAAAAATTGTTGATCAAAAAAGATTTATAATTCTAACTAAGCAATTGCATATTTATATTTTATAATGCTTACTAAAAACCGAGTTGATGGAGAAATTAAATTGAATTGACTGTCATTAAACACACAAACGCAGCAAACTGATCAATGGTTAGGTAATGATGAAATTTTTCGAATAACATCATGAGACGATTTTGTTTGGAATTCAAAAGTAGACATACGACAGAAAGAATGAAGTCCTTTCGATATACGCAAGACCATGCTTAACTGCTAGTTCTATTTAAGCGTTAACAATCATTTTTCTGATAGTGTCCAATTATGCTAAATGACCTTTGGTCATTATGCAATATCCTGAGATAAAAATATTCAGTTATATTGAGTCAACTGATATGTTTAAATTTATTTTTACAACAAATGAGCTACTTTTGTTCCAGAAAAAAAAGAAAATTATTTCTCTCGATCATGTACTGAGTTTCATGAGTGTCTAACAAATTTCATTCATTTTCGATCATGTGGAGGAAAGTTCCATTTGAATAGATTCATCATTTCCATTGTGGAATAAATACAGGGCATCCCTCCATGTGTTACTTGACTATAATCAACGTCGTCATCACCATATTCGTCGAGGTCAGAATCATCAAAGGTAGGCATGCAACTTCCATTAGGTGTATTAAAACCTTCGCTATTTGTAATTTTTTCGATCAAATCATTTAATGTTTGTCGTAGATGATGGACAGCTTGTTCATCTTTAAGAAGATCAATGTATGGCACAAAGCAACAATGATCAAGTATATAAACGCCAAATGGTGAATCTACCGGAACGATATAATGATCTCGACAATCATAAGATCCTTTTATGCATAAAAACGTCGACGACATTGTTGATTTCATTTGTTCTTCTAGACGATTTCGTGAAACTGGATTCGGCAATAAATTTTTAAGCATTTCCTTGTTGAACAGAAGAAAGACGACACTACAATCGAATGCACAGATACACTATGTTTTGTAGACCAAAGTGTACAAAATGTAGACGAAGCGAAAATTAACAGATGGAGTGCGTATCAACGCTTCTATTTAAACATTTCGATCGGATGAAGGGAGCTGTAGGATCTAGTCCGAAAAATTTCAAAAAAAAAATACAATTTTCTGCCCAAATTTTGAGAAGTGTTTGCGAGTTTTTCAAAGTTTAGCGGTAAAATCTACTACAAACTTAGTTTTCTAGCTGTCTTCGCCTTTTTTTTGCCGACAGAAAAAAATCAAATAAAATCATTTTCTTCGAACAAAATCTCTCAGAAATAGTGTAGTTTTAG